CTCTCCCCTCTCCTCTCTCCCCCCCCTGGCTTCCGCATCCCTAGTCGTCTTGGGAACTTAGCTAAATGGTCGTGAAGATGGCGTAAAAGACGGTCCCAGACTAATTTCAGGACCTCATTTGGTTAAGTTTGGACGATGCAGTTTTACCTTTGATGACCTGCAAAACTCTGAATTTTATGCCACTTTCATATCACATGTGAATTATTTTAAAGGCACCTCCACTTGGCACTGTCCGAGAGAGAGAGAGAAAAGAGAGAGAGAGAGAGGAGAGAGAGAGAGAGAAGAGAGAGAGAGAGAGAGAGAGGAGAGAGAGAGAAGAGAGAGAGAGAGAGATGAGAGAGAGAGATAGATAGAGAAGAGAGAGAGAGAGAGAGTTCCAATTCAGGATGATAGAATTTATTACTTTATATATGAAACCCATCCTGTGTGCCACCCGCACAGTGGGTGTTCCCACAGTGTAACTGTCACACAGTGTAACTCCCACACACACTGTGGGTGTTCCCACAATGTAACTGCCACACAGAGTAAGTCCCACACACACTGTGGGTCTTCCCACAATGTAACTGCCACACAGTGTAACCCCCACACACACTGTGGGTGTTCCCACAATGTAACTGCCACACAGAGTAAGTCCCACACACACACTGGGTGTTCCCACGATGTAACTGCCATACAGTGTAACTCCCACACACACTCTGTGGGTCTTCCCACAATGTAACTGCCACACAGTGTAACCCCTCCACACACTGTGGGTGTTCCCACAATGTAACTTTAAAATATATATGAGTTCTCATTATTATTCCGACCACCACTACCACCATCCACACCATCTTCAGTCTTAGCACCATCCCAGACCACTACCACACCACCACACCAACTTCAGTCTTAGCACCATACCACCACCCACACCATATTCATCTTAGCAACCACCCACCACTACCACCATCCACGCCATCTTCAGTCTTAACACCACCCCACTACCACCATCCACATACCATCTTCATTTCTAGCAACCACTTACCACCATCCACAACCATCTTCAGTCTTAGCCACCACCACCACTACCACCATCCACGTCCATCTTCCAGTCTCAGCTACCACCACCACTACCACCAACCTCACCATCTTCAGTCTTAGCACCACCAGCCCACTACCAACCATCCACACCATCTTCAGCCGTAGCACCACCACCACTACCAACCATCCACGCCATCTCAGTCTTAACACACCACCACTACACTGGGTCATCCACACCATATTCAGTCTTAGCACCACTACCACCATCCACAACCATATTCAGTCTTAGCAACCACCACCACTACCACCATCCACACCAACTTCAGTTCTTATAGCACCACCAACCTCTACCACCATCTACACCATCTTCAGTCTTAGCACCACCACCACTACCACCATCCACACCATCTTCAGTCATTAGCACCACCAACCATACCACCATCCACACTCATCTTCAGTCTTAGCACCCAACCACACACTACTCACCATCTACACCATCTTCAGTCTTAGCACCACCACCACTACCACCATCCCCACACCATCTTCAGCCTTAGCAACACACCACCACTAACCACCATCCACACCATCTTCAGTCTAAACCACCACCACTACCTACCATCCACACCATATTCAGTCTTAGCACCACACCACCATCCACCACCATATTCAGTCTTACACCACCACCACTACCACCATCGACACCAACTTCAGTCTTAGCACCACCACCACTACCACCATCCACACCACTTAAGTCTTTAGCACCACCACCACCTTACCACCATCTACACCATCTTCAGTCTTTCACCACCACCAATACCACTCATCTACACCATCCTTTTCAGTCTTAGCACCACCACCACTACCACCATCCACACCATCTTCAGTCTTAGCACTACCATCTCTACCAACCCATCTACACCATCTTCAGTCTTAGCACCACCACCACTACCACCAGCCCACATCATCTTCAGTCTTAGCACCACCACCAACTACACCAATCCACACCATCTTCAGTCTTAGCACCACCACCACACCACCATCCACACCAACTTAAGTCTTAGCACCACCACCACTACCACCATCTACACCATCTTCAGTCTTAGCACCACCACCACTACCACCATCCACACCATCTCAGTCTTAAGCACCACCATCAACTACCACCATCGACACCAACTTTCATCTTACGCACTTCACCACCACCCTAAACCACCATCCACACCATATTTCCAGTCCTTAGCACCAAAAAAAAAAAGGTAATTTAAAGAAACCACTACCAAAAATCAAAAAATTTGTTTAGGATTAGACAAAAACCACTACAAATTCCAAAACATAGTCTGTATTTGAAAAAAACATCATCTATAACCTCCATCCAAACCATCTTCAGTCTTAGCAACCACAACCACTACACCATCAACAAAATCTTTCACCTTAAGCACCTCTAACCTTTACAACCATCCACACCATTTTCCAGTCGTAGCAC